TGGCTGTCTCAACACCATACTCCACATCCAACATCGGTCTGAAGGACATCACCATGGGAGCCAGCTGTGGCTGTCTCAACACCAGTGAACAACCTGCAGCCCTAATTTAAACGAGCTACCTGAGTCGGCTCCATGTGAGGATGATGGTAAGCGAAGCGACCATAGCTCATGCAACCTGCAGCATTAATTTACAGTTCTACCTGAGACACCCACGAGGTGGCTCAATGTACTTAATTTGGTAAGCGAAGCGACATAGTGCATCATGAGTTACTCAACCTGCAACCCTTATTTTAATGAACTACCTGAGACGGCCAAGAGTCGGCTCCATTCAGTGGTGGTGATAAGCGAAGCGACATGGTTATCATCAAGGTCATCATCGTCGACACCAACATCTCCGAAAGGAGCCAAGGGAGCCAGCTGTGGCTGTCTCAACACCTTCAACAATAATTAATAAATCATCTACCTGAGACAGCCACGAGGTGGCTCCTGCAACATCGATTGGTGAGCGAAGCGACCTTGCAAGACCTATTCAAGCTGCAACCGTGGTTAATAGTTCAACCTGAGACGGCCATAGGCGGCTCAATCCAATTGATTTAATAAGCGAAGCGACCTACTGATCCGAGACAGCCAGCTAGCTCCATACACGGGAACATGATATAATAGAACTCCCCTGTAAAGGGTTAGGGTGAGACGGCCACAAGTCGGCTCAACTGTAGACGATGCAGCCAGGATTAATAAGATTCAATGGCGATGAGGTTACCAGGATTAAAGCAGGGTTCAACTGTGGTGAGGCTTCAGAACGGAAGTGACTACGATAATCCCAAGGATTAAAAGGGAGCCAGCTGTGGCTGTCTCGATCAGCATTAGCTATTAACAGGTCTCCTGAGACACCCACGAGGTGGCTCCCTAAGTGGCATGTTGATAAGCGAAGCGACATGGTGCATCATCGATCAACCGTTCAGCCAGGGTCTCTAGGTGTGTCAGCAAACGGAGTGCGCTAGGAGCGCAGATGATAACGAAGGAGCGAGTGATCCTTGGGGTAGGGGCCCCGAGGTGAAGGAGTGACGTAGTGGGTGTAAGCGAAGCGACCTGTGCAACTTTGATTGGTAGGGATAGATTAACGTACGAGCGATCGATCCCCCGAGGTCTCGGGGGTGAGGAGTGAGGCAGTGTTGTAAGCGAAGCGACATTGAGTACAATGAGTCACCAACCGTTCAACCATAATCTTTAATTCCCCTGAGACGGCCATAGGCGGCTCAATCGTAGGGATGGTAGTAAGCGAAGCGACCCTGGTTCAATACAACCGTGCAACTATAATTCTAATGGTTAGCAAGGAGCCAGCTGTGGCTGTCTCAACAATGCAGCTAGGATTATTAGTAAACATGAGACACCCACAAGGTGGCTCATTCAATCGGTGGTGGTGAGCGAAGCGACATCATGATCCTCAACGATGCAGCAAGGATTATTCATGAACCTGAGACACCCACGAGGTGGCTCCATCTCGGAGGGTTTAGTAAGCGAAGAGACCCGAGTCCATTTAACCTGCAGCACCGATTTAGAGGATTAGCCAAAGGAGCCAGCTGTGACTGTCTCACGGTTCAACACCGATTGTTAGGTTGGTAACTCGCGAGACGGCCACAGGCGGCTCAATAGGTTGTGAAGCTAGTACGTTGAGGTAATGACCATTCAAGATGAGCAGGGTTTAACTGTAGTCTTCATAAGATCAACGGATTTAAAGGGATCACATCAATCGACAGCAGCAGGACCAACGACTTGATCAACAAGGAAACCAGATGCAGAATCGATCTGAAAGACAATGGATCAGCAGGAAGGGTACGCGAATCAACGGTCACGACGTGACGATCAATTCCAAGGACACCCTATCAAAGGAGCCAGCTGTGGCTGTCTCAAGCAACATCGATTTAAAAGACAAGGAGTCCGCGGAAACGACACCATCAAAGGAGCCAGCTGTGGCTGTCTCAACAGCTCAATGAATACTAATGATTAGCAAGAGGAGCCAGCAGAGTTGACATCATGAAGGACACCGATGCAGCAAGGATAACTGATGAATGAGTAAAAGACCTGAGACGGCCACAGGCGGCTCCCCTAGATTGATACGATGTAAACTACTCGAGCCAGCCACAGCTGGCTCCCATTGCGTAGGTCAGTCAGTGTAGATACGCAACCGTGCAACACTAATCTATAAGAGCTAGCTGAGACAGCCACAGCTGGCTCCATCTTCTCGACTCAGCAAGCGAAACGACTATGTTAGACGAGACGGCCACAGGCGGCTCAATCGTGGCGGTCGTTCTAGGATTCAGCAGAGCAGCAGGGATTATGAACAAGGGATGTGTACAGGACTAAGCGAGGGGAGCCAGCTGTGGCTGTCTCAACAAGTGCAACGGTAATGTTAAGCGAAGCGACTCCTTGTTCATGAAACGGTGCAGCGATAATCTTTAAGTTAAACGAGTCTTCATCAGTGCAACCGTGAGTTATATTCTACCTGAGACAGCCACAGCTGGCTCCCAGGGTTCAGTTAGTAAGCGAAGCGACAGATTCATTCAACCTGCAACGATGCCTCATCATGATCTCCAAGGAGCCTGCTGTGGTTGTCTCATCACCATCAGCTATAATGAGTAAGGAGCGAAGGTGTTAAGCGAAGCGACCTCGTATTCATGTTCAACCTGCAGCCTTTATGTATAGTAATTCACCTGAGACGGCCACAGGCGGCTCGATGTCAATAAAAGTTCATCTACCTGAGAGTCACAGCTGGCTCCCTTCCGTAGGATAACCAACTGGAATAAACCATGCAGCAATAATGAATAGTTCAACGAGAGGAGCCAGCTGTGGCTGTCTCAGCCCTAGTAACTCGTATTCGACTTGCGACATGAATTTATTGTTCAACTCGAGACGGCTACAGCCGGCTCCATCGTAAAGGTCATCGTAAGCGAAGCGACCTCGTTCATGATACCGTGCAGCTATGATTAGTAATTAACCTCCATCCGTGGGATGGTGATAAGCGAAGCGATATGTGCACCATGGCTTAATCACCGTCGGAATCATCATCAACCTCAGGATCAACAGTCCAGTGGGGACCTAAATGAGTGACCTCATGCACATTCAACGGTGTAACTTAGATCTATAATCAACCTGAGACGGCCACAGGCGGCTCAATGCAGCGGTCATTGGTAAGCGAAGCGACCTCGTTCCTATTCAACCCTGCAGCATGAATTTAAAGTGATCCACCTGAGACACCCACGAGGTGGCTCATTCAGCAGGGGTTAATAAGCGAAGCGACATCGTGATCAACCGTTTAGCCAGCGGGATCGTCATCATGAAAGGAGCCAGCTGTGGCTGTCTCAATAAGTGCAACAATGGTTTACAACCTGAGACGGCCACAGGCGGCTCCATGTCATGAAGGTAATAAGCGAAGCGACCTCGTTCCTATTCAACCGTGCAACCATAGTTTATAATCAACCTCACCAAGGGAGCCAGCTGTGGCTGTCTCAACAAGTACACCAGTAATTAATAGGGTTAACATGAGACGGCCACAGGCGGCTCTTGATATCGGAATCAATAAGCGAAGCGACATGTGAATCAGTCCAACGGTGATTAGTAAGCGTAGCGACAGTTCACTCAATCGTGATGAGGTGGTAAGCGAAGCAACCTTGACTCATGTTGTCGTGCAGCACTGATGATCAGTAAACATGATACACCCACGAGGTGTATCCTTCCAGTGATGGTGATGGTCGGAGCGACCTCAGGATCAACCGTCGTTGTCACCAACATCACCACCAAGGGAGCCAGCTGTGGCTGTCTCAACGAATGATGAATAGTCAACCCGAGACGGCCACAGGCGGCTCCTTCGACCGAAGTTATTAAGCGAAGCGACATGGACATCATCAGAACCGTCATAGCCAAGGGAGCCAGCTGTGGCTGTCTCAAGCAACAAGTCATTAGGTGACCTGAGACGGCCACAGGCGGCTCCATCCATAAATGATCAATAAGCGAAGCGACATCATCTACTATTCAACGGTGCAACATTTATCTGTAGTTGAGACAGCCACAGCTGGCTCCCAGTGCACGAGGTCGTTACGGTCCAGGTTCCAGGTGGGGCACGCTACGGGGGCCGGGAGTGGCCTCGAAGCTGCGACTTATTATCACTCCCATCGACTACCATCGATGTACGTGATAAACGCCTCAGCGGCCACCCCCTTAAACCCCCTCCGCTACCACCCCACCCTCCACCTAAACCTCCACTTGCACCCCACCGATCAACATATGAGTCAGCCCCCTTCACACGCACTGACGGAATCGAACCGCCTCCCCCAGGTCATGAGCCTGAGATGCTTCCATTACACCAAGTGCTTCATAAACGTCAGGACTACTGCGACGGCCACAGGCGGCGCCCTACCGATCATTGATAACCAGTCGAACCCCGCCTGAGACAGCCACAAGCTGGCTCCTCGTTGGTTACCCAGGGAACCACCCTCCGTACTGTCTAGTGACCCATGAGATCACCTCCAGCAAGGTTTACTACCCACCACCCAACGGCCTCCCACCGTGGGCCTTGCCGCAACCAGTACCCGCCGAAGCAGTCCACCATCTCTGGCTTCGTCCAGTCACTAACCCCCACTTAACGTCCGAGCTCAGACGACACCAGCCTCTCGGCCATCCCCCGGTGCATGGAACCCCTACCGTAGCATCCGCCCCCCAACCTTCCTGACCACCACCCTCCGAAGAGGACAGCACCGAACACCCCAGCAAGCCAGGAGTCAGTTCCAGTAAGAGTTTAGGACGCCCTTCAGGTAGACGTTATCACCCCAGCAACCTTCATGATCACGCGTCAAAGTAACGAGCTCTCTTACAGCACTAGGTTAGGCAGCAGGTACAGCTCTCATAAACAGACCGGCTTCGGGGCTCAAGGCCACACCTTACCGCGATCCGTTCCCGAGTTCACCGCCCGTAGTCCGTCCCCCCTTATCGCCCAGAACACCGGTCCTCCCGATGCCCCTCCCTCCAGTTGCCCAACCAAGTAACTAATCTCACACCCCCGGTTTACAAGGCCCACGCTAGGCCATGGTTCCGAGGGTAGTTAGTGACTCGATGACGCGTAGGGTAGTGCATGTGCAAGCGTCGACCCTGCCCCTATGACTGTGTTTGTCTACTCAAGCCCTCCACCCGTGTACTGCATCCAGGCCCGTCACTTATTATCCTCCGGTCTCGCCTACTCAATCGCCAGCCCTCCCCCACATGTTCGGTGTGAAGGTCCGGTGAAACGATTGAGTAGACTGTACCATCGGCTGTTTACGGCGGCAACCACAGACTGGGTCCTCCAAGAGGGGTGAGTCATCATAGCGGGTACTTTAACGATTAGACCATGAAAACCACTCAGATGATGTTCCGCTCATCACCAACGCCTTACTCCCCTCACCACCGCGACCGCTCCCCACCCACCACACCACCCACCGCTGAAGAGGCGATAGTTAACGTGACACATGGTTCTGCTGAAGCCCAGGGATCTAACCAAACGTTGATGAATCACAAGCGGCCACCGTTTCCAGCAACCGCACTCGTACGCCCGACACACCGCTCGCCCTCTGCCTCCCAGCGCCCCCACCATGCAGGATCATCATACCCCCGGTCCAGCCCCACCAGAGCAGCCCAAGGACTGTTAGCAAGACCAGAGTTCAGGTTCTCCCCATACATAATCTAGGTTCACCTGACAAAGAACTACAGTGCAGCCTGTCCGCACTTCCGCACGCCAAACCCCCGCCCTTAGTGCCTCCCCTAAGAAAGACCCACCAGCAGACAGCCCTCGCACTTGACACCGGCCCCTCCCCGCCGCATGCCCCGCACCCCCACCCCGGAGTGCCCCACTGATCTCACAACGCAGTACACCCTCAGACCCCTCCCCGCACACCCAGCCACCCAGCAAGCCACTCAAGCACCCCCCCCCCCCCCCCCCCCCAAAGGAGCACGACGAAGACAGGATACCGAAGCACCCACCAGACAACCAGGTGCACCAGAAGAGCCGCCCAGCCAACCCATCGCCACCAGACGAAGCCCACCAGAGAACCCCCCCCCTCACCGACCACACCCCGAAGAGTACAGTGATGAAAGAGATGAGGCCCCCAACGAACCCCGCCAAGCAACAACAGGCCACCCAGGAACACCCTCAGATGCCCACCCTGTTTACCCAGCACCCCACTCCCGCCAACACACTCGCCACCTCTCACTCAGACGGTGAGCAGACGTGGTGTGTCCCGTTACATGGGCCTTAGTTTCTAGTCTCGCAGGTTCAACCCCACAGACCCCGCTCCCCCATTTCTGGGACGGCTGGCTCTTTGTAAACCCTCTTACCCAGCCCTCCGTCCCCCTCTTTCGCGCCTACCCACCCTCTCCCCACCACCAACCACAGGCCCCTCTAGGGATTATGGTTAACGATGAAGAGACAGTAAAGCGGTACCCCCATCCCAACCATCACTGGCCAGGCGGTGCTACTCCCGAGAAGTCCATCTTGCTGTTGCCCATCCAAGAACCCAGAGCCCCACCCCTCCTACACCCCACCATCACTGGTAAGGTAAGTCAAAGGATGAAGCCCCAAGTCCCCTTCAAAGCAGTAAGCTCCCTACTCCCTCTTTATCGCTCTAGTTACCATCCACTCCAACTACGCAGCCCTTGCGAGGCGTTGGATTACCCGTCCCCCACCAGAAGAGTACTCCACCCTTCACCCCCACCACCGTAGCACCCCGAAGAGTACTAAGTAGTTGAAGTAAAGAGTGAAGCACCCCTCCTAAGCCACCCGCAGCAGTCGTTGGACCGATCTAAGGTGACGTATGAGTTAGAGAGAGTGGAGACCGTGGCACCCTGTAAGAGGTGGGGTTGTCTACTCAAGCATTATTCCTCCGCAGCAGCGATTTAAATGAAGTGGTCAAGCAAGTGAAGTGTAATGAAGGGGTGTTAGCGTAGGTCGAAGGAGGTGGATCTTGCAGACCGTTACCCGTAGTCTCCCTCTCCGGAACGCTCACCCCGGACCAACTTGTTGGGAGGAGTGATCGTGGAGGTGAGGGGGACGTAGGGTATAAGGTTTGCAACTTGCAGATCCACCGGTCGACCGCAGCGTGCCCCGTAATGAAACGAAACGACCCCTCACGAGAAGTCATCAGATCGATTGACCACCCAATAAACCATCGAGACAGCCACAGCTGGCTCCCATCGGTAGGGCAACCAGAATGGTATGAAACCGTGCAACAGTAATATATAATCAACCCCTAACAGACCCCCACCTGATGAACACCCTACCAAAATAACCGACTCGACCTGAATGTTAATCAATCAGTCTCGCAATAAATGCGGGGACGAACCCCCATCCAACTGCACAGTAATCCTAAAAGTAACGACTCTCAACACCACGATACAGCCTTAATTTATAAACGAGTCACCCGATCGACCTATTACCCTAAATAAGCCACCCCTTCACCTTGAAACGGAACACCCTACCCAACGAACATACAACTAAAATAAACAGAGCAGCCCCAATTAATAATCGTCATCATCATAAAATGCAGGGGCAAATGATCGAACGACGCCACAGTAATTATCAAATGAAGAGTCTACCCATGAACGATTCAGCCTGAATTAATAAATGAGTCAGTCGATGAACGCGGTACCCATAATTAGCCACCTAATTGGTATAAATGAGCCACCTCACCCGCCACCCGCCCAACCGCAATCAACCCTGCAGCCCCAATTAATAACGATGATGAAACCGATCACCTCACCCACTTCCCGTCCAACCACGAGTCCCCATGTCAAACCCCTCACTCGCCACCCCCATTAACCCGAAAATGACCTAAATCAACCCCCTGTTCAATCCGTTCCACTCAATCCGATTCGTTGACACAAAAGTACACCCCTCCCGCCACCCACTCTGTCATTCGCGCAATTCATTCCAATTCATGTTCAATTCATTTCAATGAAATGGCCCATTTCAGGATCCAGACCGAT